ATATACACTACAGAATACTATGCCATAAAAAAATACAAAATTATATTCTTTGCAGCAACATGGATGCAGTTGGAGGGTAATTTCTAAGAGAATTAACACAGAACAGAAAACTGAATATTACCGTTTTCACTTAAGAGTGGTAGTTAAACAATGGGTGCACATGAGCATACAGATGGGAACAACAGATACTGGGGACTCCAAAAGTGGGACGGAAAGGGTTTTAAAATGACCTATGGGGTACCCTGCTCATGATTGACCTATGGGGCACCCTGCTCACGATTTGGGTGACAGGCTCAATAGAAGCCCAAACCTCGTCATAACACAATAAACCCATGTAACAAACCTGCGTATGTACCTTTTGAATCTAAAATAAAAATTAAATTAAAAAGAAACAAATATATCTCATATTCATGTATATATACATATATCTCAGTGAACAGTATATAGTATTCTTTCGTGTCGTGTGAATAAAGTGTATTTTAAACTCTAATTTTTTACTGCACTTGTTCTTCCCTTTATTTTTTTAATTCAATATTCTTTTATTCATGTTAGGAAGAAATATAAAGACATATGTATTAATCATTCATTGTAAACACTATCAAATTTCTTGTCATTTGTTCTTCAAAATAATCCTCCCCTCACACACTTTATAGCTGAGATATTAAGTGAATCATCAAAACTATGAAAAAAGACCTAATGGGAATTGTTCTAAAACTAGTTGTGTTCAAGATTCATTCTCTGGTAAAGAGCATTTTTAGGTAGAAAAGCCAAGCTTACAGAAAGCTGGAAATTCATCGTTAATTATTATTTGACATTGCCCGGAGAACATCTGAAGATGTGTCTATTTTTGAGAGATGAATTGAAAATGATGACTTTAATTTTTACTACTATATTTCTTATGCGAAGCTTAAGACATAAATGAAATACAACTACATTGTGCCTCCCACTGTCCTTCAAATTTTTATCAGTAGAGCACGTCTCTGGGGGCCTTAGATGACACCCCACAGACCCCATGGCATCTCTTCTTAGGTTATAGTCTCTAACTTACTTTAAGTGTAAACACAGTCTGAATTTGGAAACTGTGTCCTGTCCAAGACACTCGATAAAATCCTGATCCTGATGTTTCAGCTAATTGCTTTCCTGGACAAGCTCAGGTCCTCTTCAGGCTGGAGGCCTTCAATGAGGTGAGGGGTGAGCTGAGAAGGGCAAAGTCCTTCCTCCCTTTGCTCCCTCCCTGACGGCTTTTTCACCTACTCACTAGTTGTTTTCAGTTTTTATTTTCTACAGGTAAGCAAGAAAAGAAGGAAAGACAAAGAGATAGGACATTTCATACTCGTTGGGTGACTTTTCAATCAACAAAGCTGACAGATGAATAAATCTGCTGCTCCTATGTGTGTGGGCTGACAGTCCAATCTTTCTCTTGGTGAAGCTTTTGTGACTTCTGTGGAGATTCCTTGTTGGACCTCTCTCGTAAATCACCCTGACACCTCCATTTCAGGTGGGTGTTTGTAATTCCTTCTTCAGCACCTGGCTATGGTGCTTACACATCCAGTCTTTTTCACTGAGGTCTCCTTGCCCCTCCAGGCAGCCCTAACTGACAGAACCAAGAAGACCCTTGTTGTTGTTTTCTCATATGACCTCTACCTGACCCTTGGAAAGGTTCAGCATTCCTTACGCAGGGTGAGGTGCTGGATCCCAAGGCAGAAACCCACTCCAGGCTCTATCATGAAAGCCAGGCCTGCTTTTACCCTTCAGATTTCCTACTTTAAACTGGATAAGGCTTTCTTAGGAGTGAGGCAGGCAAAGCGCTCCATATTTTCTGGTTATGGGAAGGAAGTTTCTGAGCTTTCGGTTATGTCCTTGAAACCCCTCTCTTCCCTCACATATTGGTAGGGTGTAGATTTAGAATTTCAACACATACTTCCAAAGAAAATTCTCTGCAAATCCCTAACCACACTATCTATAGACCAGGTATCATTTTATGTATACAACTGCATTGATAGAAAGGAGTTGATTTATACTTTTAACTGATGTTTATCTTATTGGGACCTCAGTCAAAATGAGATAAGAAAAATATCATTTAATTTCCTATGTTACCTGACCAAGTGAGACAAGGAAAATTACTTAATCAGTCTGCATTTCCCCACATTTAAAATGAGCATTAACTGAGGTAGTGGGATAATAATAGCACTTTACTCGTATGATTGTTGAGAGTATTAAATAAATCGATACATGTAAAGGCTTAGAACATGTCTGGCTTGTCATAAGAACTCAGTTAAGTGTTAGTTGCTACTATTTATCTTTCAAAATTCAACTTAACTCATACTCCCTAATTAGTCTTTCTTAATTTATCCAAACAATGTTAAGCATGGCTTCCTCTCAAAGAACCTTAAGTGAGTTATGACTATTTTGTGTTTTCAAATTTAAGTGTCACGTTCCTACAAATAGGTGTTTATATGTGTGCCTTCTCCTTTAATTCTTCAGGCCAAGAACTTTGATCTGTTTGTTTTTGTTTCTCAAACATTTATCATGTTTGATGATTGAACAAGTGAATAGGACCCATCAGATGGCTAGACACTCAAGAATAGATATGTCAGTTTGCTTAACAGTGTCCATAGATAGTCCATTTTGCTGAGGTCAATGAATGAATGAATAAAGCTTTCATAGCAAACAAATCTCTGAAAGCTTTCAAATAGCACAGAAATATGCACAGTTTACACATTACTGTGCCAATATTTTACTATTAAAGCCATAAGAATTTGTAACAAAAACAAACTAAGAAAGCATTGGATCTGCTAAAAGCTTAATGTTACTGGGCTGTGTTCTGAGAGAAAAGCAAATATCTTTATAATTATTCCATGTGGATAATTTACTGAAAGAATATAATCTAAAAATGGTAGTCGATTACTCCCTATTGCTATTAATTAATTCTAGCTGTTTATTATTCTATAGACTTCAGAAAAAAATAAAATTAGCTAGATGATGATAAACTTGAGTAGTAACACTAAATGGTAAATAAAATTAGAAATAATCTTTATTTATAATTACCTTGTACTTGTAATGAATATAAGTAAAAAACTCCAATAAATACAAGTTAAAAGTAGACTTATGCTATTTTTTCTTCCGATTTACAAAAATTGTTTTAGTATTAAATTCATTATTTAAAAATAATATAATGTTGATTGAGACCAAAAAGCATCCAGACAGAAAGAAAATTGATTTCCTTGAAATCTGAAACTAATTTAGTTATTTCTGCAGTTATTGAAGGCAGCTGCAATAATTGAGAGACAATAATAAAGTTTTTTGCTTCTTTATTTGTTTCTCCTTTTAAAGCTGAAATGTTCCATTTATTTAGTTTCATAAGATTAAAAGCATTTGGGGCATTTTTGAGCCATGAACAATAAAATTACCTTAGTCTTCATAATTTTAGGAGAGGTGCATGGCCATTGGTAAAGTTTTACAAATCATCACTGATAATTCTAATAATCAGCAGATTCCTCTCATAAGATGGCTTTAGGAACTGCCGTGGAAGAAATGCAAAAACATTGACTATGTTCTCTTTAGGAACCATTTTCCTGCCTACTTCAGTCCTAATAAGATAAACTGTTCTAAAAAGGTTTAGATGGCACTATGAAGAATAAAGAAGCTGACTTGACTTATTCTGCTTTCAACTTGCTACCAGACTTAGGGCAAGTTACTTAAGCTTGGCATTAGTTGTAAAAATGAAACATCTGTTTAGGCATTGGTAAATCAGAGATTAGTGCATTTACTTTCCAGGGTTATTTTAAAGTTCAATATAGTCGATATTAATTAAGTGTCTTAGAAGCTTCTACATGCCCTATAAAAATGAGATTACTATTATTATAGTAATACCTTTTTTTTTTTGCAAGGAATGGAAACTACTTTAAATAAGGGATGGATAAGTAATAATTTTCTTTTCTTTCTTTTTTTTTTTCTGCGTTGGAGTCTCACTCTGTCGCCCAGACTGGAATGCAGTGGCCGCTCCCGGCCACCACAGCCTCGACCTGCTGGGCTCCGGCGATCCTTCCGCCTCAGCCTTCCGAGTAGCTGGAACTACAAGCGCGCGCTACCACGCCCGGCTCATTTTTTTTTTTTTTATTTCTTGTAGAGATGAGGTCTCGCTGCCCAGGCGGGTCTCGAACCCGCGGGCTCAGGCAATCCACTCACCTCGGTCTCCCAAAGGCCGCGGGATTACAGGCTGAGCCACCGAGCCCGGCGGATAAGTAATAATTTTCATGATGGGAGGGAGTGGGTCCACTTTCTTCTGTTCTCAACATGGGATATTCTAATATACTCGGGTCCAGTTCAGAGGGACTTACCCCTTGACTTATCAGGTAAAAACACATTTATTTTGGTTTATGAAAGCTTGAAGCACAGGGAGAGTAGTTAATTCTCTCAGTTTTACTGGATGTTTGATTCTGCAGCTTTTTCTAAGCAATCAGCAGCTGGCAAAGGTCCTCAGTCACTTCTGTTGAATGCAGCTCTGGGCATAACTCTTTTCCAGGTTTTCAGGTCCTGATGGTTTATAAGACACAGACCATCAATGATGCACTTCAAGGAATGGAGTCCATGAGATGACCTAGCTTTCTTTCTACTTTCCTGACCCATTTTCCCTAGGTTTTATCTCCTTCCTGATATGCCAGTTGGCAACTAAGCTTTCTTGATAAAATAGCAAAAGTAAGAACATAAAAGCCTAAAACGCAACAGAATTTCCCTGCCTTTTTCTGACACCACAGGCACTAACCGGGATTTCCAAGTAAGTAAATAAGGTACTATACTCAGACCTCACTGAGAATAGAACTGGAATGCCAGTTACTAAGGAATCTAACTCTCAGAGACCACTCCATTTCTCCCACTGCCACTGTGCTCTGCATAATTTTTCTCTGTTCTCTTTTGTGCTATCCAGCTTTATCTGCATATTTATCTTGTACATAATCCAGTATGACTGTGATCTCTGGATATGCATCATTATTTCTTAGGTCCGGGGCAACCTTCAGCTAGCAACAGTCTTGGAGCTCTTAAATCAGAGAGACAATCTGCTTCAACCAGATGAGTGGTTTTATCTATTGCCGACTCCGGGAATGGAGTTAAGATAACTCCATTAAGATAACTCATTGACCACCAGAACAACCTCTTGATAAAGCAAATCCAGTAATAAATAAACATCTTATTACAATAAGAGAGCCCATATTTTCACAGTCTTAGCAGCATTTTAAAAGGGAGAGATGGATTTAAGGGATGAATTTGAGGATTTGGAGGTATATGTTAAGATAAGTCTTTCAATCTGGAACCAACTTTAGATTGGACAAGTTAATGACAGAATAGTTTAGGGCTGGTCAACACAGTGACGTGAGGATTTCTCAGAGTCTTACAGAGTAAATAGTCTTTTGATAAGCCTACTAAAGTGACCCATTGTCCTAAGAAGGGGTAAGGAGAGCTAGCTGAGTATTCTGTTGTTCAGATAAATGGATTTTGGAAGTAGCTCTTAAAACAAACAATAAAGTCAGTTGGAACTTTGTCTTCCTGAGCTAGAGTTTCCTAAAGTCTGTTAATTTACACAGTGAACTGTGTGTTTTAGATAGTTTTCTGTTCTCAATTCCTCAATGCTGTTAGAATCACTTGGAGGAGGGAAGGCATTTTAAATAATATAGCTCATCTACACCAGGACAGCAAAATTTTATCTTTATCGGAGGTGCATGGCCATTGGTAACGTTTTAAAAGTCATCACAGGTGATTCTAATGATCAGCAAGGAGCAAACTGTTGGCCTAGATTATCATTTGAAGTCAGGTCACGTAACCCAATGGTTTTTCTGTGTTTGGTCAGATATCTATGTGGTGGTAGGCTGAAGTGGAGTAGGTAAGACATGTAAAATATAAAACTGTTTCTTCTAGTGACAGTGGGTGTGGGTAGGTAACTGGAAACTTGTCTACCAGAGGCATTTATTGTCCCCAGGGAGTGCCTGATGTGCAATGACTCACCATATATTCTCTCCACCCACATTTTTTATCCAGGTGTTAAAAGACCAACACCCCTAGAAGTCAAAGGAGTTTAAGTTGCCAGAACATGAGTCCGTCTAGAACTTGTGCAGGCTGGATACAGCAGGTGCCATGGCTGCTGCTGCTAACTAGAAGTGGGTGGAGGCAGCAAAGAGAATCCTGTTGTTGTTCACGGGCCATGGGCCAAAGGCTCAGGAGAATAGATACCAAAAAGATGATGAATCAGCTGATTAGTGTGGGAGTGCCAAATTTTGGTCAAGAAAAGGTTATGGGAATATCTGGGAAATGGAGAAGTAATGGAATGACTGGAGACCTGTTAGAGCAGGAAAAGAGCTAGGCAAGAATTTAGACTAGTATTCCATAAAGTTCTTGGTTATGGGGGCAAGCCAGGTAGGAACTGGAGGTGAAGCCCTAGGGAGAATATCAGGAAGAATTTGACCACGTTTTAGTAGAGAAGAAAAAGGATTCAGTTTAAGCATAGCTGTTGGTAATGCTTTGATCTCAGGCTAGCTGCAGGAAACAGAACTGTAAGAATGATATACAATGACCAACCACAACCAGCAAAGAATAGAGGATTAGTTACACAAAAGGCATAGGGTTAATTGCCTAGTGTTTTCTCGATGCCAATAAACCAAAAACAAAAACAAAAATGTTTGAGACCAAATGAAAAATAAATATTTCAGAGAGACATTTTTCTCAGGGAGGAATCAAATAGCATCAAATCCATAAAGTTACTATTTATGGACCAGGAGGACAATTCAAAGGGATGATGAGTAGCCATAAAATTGACCAAAAAAAAAAAAAAGTAAACTCTAGTGTGTCAAGATTATAGAGAGACAACTATTTCATATAATACCAGTTTAAAAATCCTCTTGAAGAGCAATTTGGCCTCAGATGATAATTCAAAAAATGACCTGACAATTTCATAACTCCTAGGTAAATTCTTACACATGTCCATAAGAAGACATTTACAACTATGTCCATTGAAATGTTAATTATAAACCAAAGAATTAAAAATAGTTCCAGTGGTTAAAGAATTACTAAAATAATGATAATTAATTTGTTTAAGGGAATACCACATGTTCATTAAAATAAATAGTCTAAAATACAAGAATTGACATTTATAAATAATAAATTTAAAAAGCAAGTTGCAAAATCATTCCTACAATATGGTAGCATTATTATATATAATATGTCTATCATATATTATATATAATTATATCTATATTATACATTATATATAATTATACCTATATTATACATATCTTATATATACATAATATAGAATAGTAGCTGGGCATGGTGGAATAAGCTTATATTCCCAGGTATTTTGGAGGCTGAGGTGAAAGGATAGATTTAGGTAGGAAATTTCAGGCTGTGCACTGTGCGCTATAATTGTGTCTGTGACTAGTCACTGCACTCCAACCTGGGCAATGTAGTGAAACCTGTCTGTAAAAATTAATTATATATGGTAGTAATATAACTCACTTATTGGTACATATATTTTAAAAATATAGAAATACAGATTTATTTGTACCAAATCCATAAGAATAATTGCATTTATAGAAGGAATTGGGGCTTGGAATGGTATCACAGCACTATGCGCAATATTTTATTTTTTTAAATCTGAAACATGTTTGATGCAGCATTATCATTTACAAATTCAGTTTGTTAAGCTCATGGGTATTATTTATATATTTTTGGCTTTATTAATTTAAAACAGTCAACCAAATATAAATATACAAACAACAAAAATTAATCACATGGTATACTTCACAATATTTAGTGAATTGTATTAATTTAGTTTATCAAAATACTTATAGGATATTGTAGATGACAAAGACAACAACATTTAGTCTGCTTCCAAGGAGATCCTGATAGCTAAAGAAAACACACACACAATTACAAGGGTAAGTATAAATTTTTATGAAAACACATATGAAGAAGGTAATAATTTTTATTAGGAAAAGAACATCAAGGAAATCTACAAGGAAGACAAAACATTTTATATTGGCCACACTGAAAGACTAGGGTGTTCAGGAAGGGGGAACCGCATTGATAAAGGGACAGAGAAATAAAACAAGTAGTCATTTTTAATAACAACATTTAGCATTGTGTGATTGGATCATCTGGATTGTAGAGGTAAATGGCAAAAAATAGATCTAGAAATTGGAGCTAGTTAATAAAAAGGTTAGAATGTTATGTTAATGAGTTTGGTACAGAGGTGCATCACAGTAAAATAATGCTGTTTCTGATACGTAAGATAGACTGAATTAATGTGAGTCTGGAGGAAGAAATGCAAGAATCCAGGTAAGAGATACCCACCATTCACAACTGAGTGATACCCTGTATTTAGCAGAGTCACCTCCACATCAACCATTACAAATATAGTCTCCACATTTCAGCAGTAAACTGAAGGTCAGAACCGGAAAGATTAGCCTGCTGGTGGCAACCCCAGAAAGAAGTAAATATTGAGGCTCAAAATAATATAAAAAGCAGAATAAAAAATTGCTGTTTATCCAATAGAAAAAGCTTTCTGTTCGCCATCTATTTCTCATTATAAAGAATAAATAAATACATAATGAGTACTCTCTAGGCAAATAAGGTTTTATTTGTCTGCAAAGCAAAACTAGCTTTCTTGTATGGTTGTACTGTAAACAGGGGTCCTTTGTAACTACACCCTTATGATTCTGGTGAACCTGCCAAAGGGAAGGTCTTATTGGCTGCGTAGTAAGTAACAGACTGGTTCCTCCACAGGAAAATCAAGGATTTATAATAAACCTGTAAGGGCTTTAAAGCACTTGTCTAAGTGACACTGATGCTTTGTTGGAGTGACATTCTGCACTGAGGCAGAATTTTCTCTTTGCCTTCACTCTCACCCCTCTATACTATAGAGACAACACTGATTTGGATATCAGAGGTCTTTGAATTTATCACACTTATACTTTTTCATCCTATGAATCCTTTAAATGAATGCTTCATCTCTTTTTCAGATAAAGGTTCCAGGACCTTTATCTGAAAGTAAAATTTATTTCTTTCAATTAACTGTGTCTTGGTCTTAGAGCACAGAACATAGCCATAATATACAGTAGTTTGATTCAAACTGCTGATTCAGTGGTCTTTCTAATCTCTTCTAATTCAAGCAAAGGGAGGGAGTACAAAACATTCCTGTATACCTTCTAGACTTTAAGGGGAATAACACTCTAAACATAGTTACCAATCTTTAGAGGATTAGTCACAGAGCAGTAATTTAGGCCCAGCCAGATGAAGATGGGTGTAGCCAAAATTGATCCCAAAGGATCTGAGAGCTTGGCTCTTGGTGAGTATCCCACCAGTGTGTGGGTGGGTTTCTGGCTTTCTCTACACTGTGTAGGGCAGAAGCTTCCTGGAGAACTCCTTCAGGGACAAGTTACATGCCTGGCTGATCTTTTAAACTATTTTTGTTCTTGTTCTATATCTAACATCTGGTCCAATCAGAGAGTCTTCCTCACTCTTTTGATGAAGTTGGAGACTTCACCCATCTTATGTTTTAGAGTTTTGTTAGTGAATTTAAAGTAAAGTCTGTCGTCTTTCAAAGAAGAAATTTAGAACAGGCAATCGAAACATCTTTTCAAGACCAATATTCTCACTCTTGCCAGGGGCTTTCTGCTCTGTGCCTGGGAGATGGAAAGCAGTGTGGAAAAAACTCTGATAAAGGTCTTTTATTGACTATAAAAACTTGAACAAATTATTTACTTTTCAAGGTCTTTAACTTATTTATAGTTGAAATCAGAGACAAAAATTTCCTCTTATAAAAATTGTTATAGCCGGGCTCAGTGGCTCAGCCTGTAATCCTAGCACTTTGGGAGACTGAGGTGAGTGGATTGCCTGAGCCCGCGGGTTCGAGACCTGCCTGGGCACTTGGCAAGACCTCATCTCTACAGTAAATCAAAAAAATTAGCCGGGCGTGGTAGCACGCGCCTGTAGTTCCAGTTTCTTGGAAGGCTGAAGCAGAAGGATTGCCGGAGCCCAGCAGGTCGAGGCTGCAGTGGTCGGGAGCGGCCACTGCACTCCAGTCTGGGTGACAGAGTGAGACTTCAACTCAGAAAAAAAAGAAAAA